ATTGTCTTCCATGAAACCGGCCCCTGGTGCCAAAAAGGTTGGGGACTGCTGACATACACAATATGAGTAACATTGTATATTTATGTTATAGGAGGCACAGTAAGATTTATTCATTTATCTAATATTTCTGAGCACCTACAATGGTTTTGGTATTGTTCTAGCACTAGGATACACCAGTGAACCAAACAAATCCTAGCTCCCTTGCATATTACAGTCTTGTTTGGGAAGACAAACAATAAACAAACCAAAAAGTATATAACACATTCAGTGGTGATAATGCTAAGAAGAAAAATAAATGAGGATAAGGCAAAAGGGAGTGACTGGAAGAGGGGTTCTCTTTAGACGGAATTTTCAGGGAAGACCCTCTGATGTAGTGACAACCGAGCACAGATAGGAATAAAGAAAGGGAGCGAGCCATGCTGATACATGGAAGAAGAGGCTTCCAAGGCACAAGAAAAAGCAAAGGCAACAGCCTTGAAGGAGGCGTATACACAGTGTCTGAGGAACAGTAAGGAGACCTGTTGCCTGGAGAGGGGTGAGCAAGGGAGAGAAGGGTAGAAAATGAGGTCAAAAGGGGTAGGCAACTGCCTTTTTGGCCATGGGATAAACTTAGATTTTGTTGCGTTTAGGTGATGTGTCCTCAATATAACTTTAGACTTCTGGGGTTAAGAGCAGCATTAGCCTTTTTCTCAGATCTTGGAAAACATGAGGCTGGCTCACGTAAGGAGGTGGTGACCATCAAGGGGCAATAGTTCCGTCTTTGTGGATCTTGGACAAACAACATAAGGCTGGGATGTCATTTTTTTCTTCCTTAACTCTCCCTTGTTGGGACTTTGTTCTACTCCAAAAGAGAAAACTGAAGAAGGAAGGAGGAATGGCTGTTGGACTTTGTAAAACCATGTCTCAGGTAAGTTGATGTTTTCATAAATTTCACCTTATTTTTCAGGACTTTGGGTCCCGAGGGACAGTCACAATAGTCCAGTGAGCACCCTCTCAATTTTTCTCTATCCACATTTTGTTCGTATAATGCTTCTACAGAACATTTAATATCTTTTTTTATTCAGTGTTATACTCAAATATGTGATGAATTGGAACTATCCTCTTTAGATGGATCATGATTTCTTAAGTTGGAGATGAGTACAAGTGAAGTAAGGGCTAGAGTATATTATGTGCTCTATTAAATACGGAGGTTATAGATGGCCTCTCTGAGGAAGGAACCATTTAAGCAAAGCAGACTTCAGTGAAAGTAGGAAATAAGTTTTGTGGAGATGTGGGGAAGAGCTTTAAGACTAGAAGGAATAGTAAGTACAAAGTTACTGTGGGGGGAGCATGTTTGGTATGTTCCAGGAATGGCAATGAGTCAGCATCCCTGGAGGGAAAGGAGCTTTATGAGGTAGCTGGGGACCAAATTATGTCGGCCCCTGAAAGTCATGATCAGAACTTTGAGTTTTGCTGTGTGAGGGAGAACCACTGGAGTGTTTCTGATGTGATTTGATGTATGCTTTAAAAGGAAAATAGCAGAGGAGTAAGGGTGAAAGCAGGGAAGCCAGTCAGGAGACTATTGCAGTAATCCAGGTGGGAGGTGATAGCAGCCTGGACCATGGTGGTGGCATTGGAACAGTGAGATTCTGGGTATATATTGGAGATGGAAAATACCGTGATGAGGGATTGGTTTTGGAGTATCAGAGGAAGAAAGAGGTCAAGGATGACTGCAAAGATTTTTGTCTGGGCAGCTATATAAATAGTCATGCTATTTACTAAGACGGAAAGACAGGCGCAGTGGGATGGGAATCAAGAATTGATTTCTGAATATTTACATATTCAGACACATATTACATACGTGGCTCATATATTTCTATTGGATATCACTGGTCTAGACAACTCTTTGGAAGAGTTTTATTATTAAGAGGAGTAGAGAAATGGGACAATAGCTAGAGTGAGATCATGAAAGGGAATCTATTTATTTATAAGGTGGAAGATACTGCATCAGTTTGTGCTGATTGGAATGATACAGTTAAGCGAGAAGAGTTGGTAGTACAAGAGAGAGGTGACGATGTCCTTGTGTGGACAAGTGGAGGGATTGGTCTTAGATAGGAGCCTAGTGTTTTATCCGTAGTAACTGAGGGAAGACAACATATACAGGTATGTGTGTAGATATGGGTTGGTAAGTACATATGGTGACAGGAAGATGAAGTTCAAAGTGAGAACAAGGGAGGAGTTAGTGGTTTTAGAGAGAGACAGAGGTATGGAATTGTTGTCAGGAGAGTGGAAGAGTGAATTTATTA